TTTATTTAAATTAATAACTCTGAACACTTTTCATAAAAAATGTGAAATATCTTTTAAACAAAATTTCACCGGATATATGGACTTCAGTTTTTTTATGCCTAGTTTATTTATATTTTTTCAAACCTTACCATATATTAAGTGTTTTTAATTTAAAACTGTCAATGGCAAATTTTATTTCGTTTGAAAAATATCTTTTAAATTAAATTTAAAACGTCAAATAAAGAAACGAATGGCAAGAATTTATTTGCATGAGTAATTTTGAAAATATCTTTTTGTTTATTATTATAAATATTTTTCTTTTCTTTTTGTCCTCGGAACTTTGATATTTAGTATTTTTTATGAATGTTTGGTTTATATTAGCATTTTTTTTATAAATATTTTTTATGGTATTTTTTTTTGTTTCAATTCTTTATTTTTAATCGCGCACGAATATTTGGTATCGTTGATTCAAAGAAACGTAGTTGCATTTGTTTTGGCTTTGTCATCTTTGTGCTTTTGGATTCTTTTTTTTTTTGGTTCTTTTTTTGTATCTTTTTTTTGGTTCTTTTGGCTTCAGGTCATGTTGCTCTTTTGGTTGGATATACAATTCTTTTTGTTGGATTGTTTATCAGTTTCGTTGACTTTCGTCTCTCACTTGAATATCTCTGCTAATATTTGATTATTGACGAAAATTCAAAACAAAAAAAAAATATTATCTTTGTACTTCCAAAATCAGCGAGTGAGTCTTTCACTAACACAAAAAATACATTAGCATACACGTTCCAAAAAAATACAGAAAAGTTTGTTGCCGTTGCCACCCTCAATTAATTTATGCCCATCGTGTGCCCAATTTGAAAATTGCGTAAACTCTTGACAATTTGTCAATTTGTTTTGATTGATGCAAATTTTACAAACAAAAAAATTCAAAATTGAAAAATGTTTTCTTTTCATAGTCAAACATAAATTGTAGGAATAAATTTTTTATTTGCGTATTTATATTTTTTTTCTTTATATTTTTGTTTTTTAATGAATACACAACAACACATGAGATGAGATGAGATGAAAGAGATTATTTTTTACAGATACAATTTTCACTTTAACGAATTTAAGCTTTACGGATTATTATACATAAGCAGAATTTTAAGAGCATTTAAGGTAATTATTTTGTTTATATAATTAAAAAATTGGTTTAATAAGAGATAAAAGATTATCGAAAAAAATATTATGTTTATATTCTACTATAATATTTATATTATATTATGTTTATATTATATTATAATGTTTATATTATATTATAATGTTTATATTATATTATAATATTTATATTATTTTTAGTAATATTATTGGGGCAATCTAGATACTAATTTATCAAGATTGATGAATTATCTTTTCTAGATTCAACCAACTTGGGTAAATAACCAGGTTTCAATGAAAAGCCGTACAGGCGTTATTAAATATCGGGTGTTTTTTAATTGCATGAGAACTGGCAATATTAATACCTATGGTTTGACAGCTGAAAATGTTAAACTATGTTGACATTTCTGTTCAGTAAGGTTTAACAATTCATCATGAATCGTTTAATGTTAAAACAATGCTTCCAAATTATGGTAATTCACTTC